ACCAGCTAAAAATCGCATTAATTTTTAATATACATACATAATTTTTTTTTTTTTTTTATGACTTTGAAGGTTTTTTTTAGTTAACAAATGCAATTTATAAAAACTGGCGTTAAGCATTTAAATTCTATTACAAACAGTATCCCGCATTTTATTTCATAAGAAATGCATGCTTGAAAAAGTGCAAAAATTCATCAGGAAAATATATTAAAAATCAACACGATTTCTTAGCCGCTTGAAACTTGCATCCCATTAGCCTCAAATTGTATGGGCGTACTGCATATCAATGTTCTTAAATTGAAAAGCTCGAAATTTTGATGAAAATTTGTTGAATTTTCATAAATTTTGTATAAAGTTTGAAACTTTGATGTATGTATAATGTTTTGGTTAAAAATAACGAACAAAAATTTAACTTGAAAAACATTGTGAATATTTAAAAAAAAAACTCAACACCTGATAACTTGTTGGAGCCATTGTATCTAGTTCTTTTTTTGGTTTTTTCAGATTTTTCGGATCTTCATTGATATTACTTCGGATGTTTTTTTTTAGGGGTTTCTCGGTACTTTTCGCAATTTCTTATAGATTTTATGTTGCAATCCAAAGTTTTAAAAGAAAAAAAGAAGAAATTGTCGGTGTTTCTTGCCGAAATATAAAGTGTTTGTATTCTTTGTTGACTGCTACATCGAGAGTTCGAACTGGCAAGCTTTCTCATCAGACATCAGTTTATCGCAGTTAGCCAACTAGACAGCCTTTTCATCAGCGCATACTAGTTAGCCAACTAGTCATATATCACTTGAAGTTATTCCAATTAACCCACGAAATTTTGTATTATTCACTTTGCCTTTTCACAACACGGACTTTCGCCTGCTGGGCAGCTATACGTACACGCACACGCACACATAGCGCATAACCATACTACGACAGAACGTGCGAAGGGATCAATGTGCAACGCAGTACGACGCTGTATGTACTAAAATTAAAATTTTAAAAGCTTTGGAAAAGAAAGTGAAGTGAAAGGAACCGACACGCACGGCATTTATGTACATACATCCATACATATGGATGAGAGAATGATAGGTGGAAAATTGAGCGGTGGGGATGGCAAGGTGCGCTGTGCTATCGTTGAACGCTTACGCGCTACAGCTGATTAAAATTAGGCTAGCAAAAGATATGTAGCAAAAAAGGCAAAAACAAGAAAGAACAAAAATAAACCGCCACATACGGAAGTTTATTGAACTCAAGTGGGAAAAAAATGGAAAACCTTTAATTTGTGAGGAAAAACAATAAAAAATGTGCCGAAAAGTGTAAAAGGCAGCATTTAAAAATCGAGTAACAAAAATAGAAAACACTTGAGTGTGGGAATTTTCCCTAAAGGCTTTTGACGCAAGCGTTGTTTGCCGTTCGACATTTGACTTTCTAATTTTAAATAGAGCAATGAATTTTGTTTTATGCAACGCCTTTTGCTGCTTGCTGTGAAGCGCGCTGCGGTAATATATTTCGAGAAATTTAATGAAATATATTTCACTACGCTTTTTACAGCTCATTTCGAGGTTTGTTTTCCATTTTTCATTTTTTTTGTTTTTTGTTTTTTGGGCTCCTGCCTGCCACTGCCATTTTCCTCTGCCGCCGCTAGTGATGCTGCTCCTCCTGCTGCCATTCGCAATCGATTTTGCTTTCATACCGAAGAAAACGGCGCAACACAATTTGTTGCTTATAGGGCNTCCCAACACTGATACAGAATGTAAACAAACACAGGGTTGCAAGGAAAAAAAGTTGAACGAGCTCAAAGTTGGCTGGCGACCAACTTTGTTGAAAGCGATTAGTTGAAAGGCCGTTCGGACGAGGCGATTTTTGCTTTCAACTAAAAGTTGCCTGAAAAATCGCCTCGTGCGAATGCCCTATTACTTTCCGCCTGCCTTCTGCTCAGCATTGCAACGCGTCGCCATATTGTCACCAAACATTTACTTCACACTTGACGCTTTGACAGTTTTTGCACAATACTTAAGAAACATTTCTCGTTGCTATTTTTTTTTGTTTAATTTTATTTTTTCCTTTACGAGGCTTGCGAAAGCGTCATGTGTGCATTAGGGTGGCACAGCTGTTGCGGAAATCAATTTTTTTCGGCTCAGACTCAGTAAATGTAACACAAATGTTGTATTTTTCCGCGAAATGTTCGCTTTTTGAATAGTTAATAGCCTGAAAAAATAAGCTTTCGATTGGAACCTTAAAATTGTAAACTAGTACACTAAGTGTCAAGTATTAAGTAACAGTTACAGATGCAAAAATAAATTGGAAATTAATAAAAAATCATAGTTTTTCTAGGTGGCAACCCTACGAACCCTGCGACCTCTTAGCTACTTGCAAATTACACTTTATTATACTAAAATTTAATGATGTATAAAACTGCATACCCAACATTTTTCTAGAAACTCAATTTTTTTTTTAATTTTGGTGAATATTTTTTATAAAACATTTGAAAGTTTTTGTGTAATTGTTTTCATTTCGTAGGCAACCAACAAATGTTTTCAACTCATTTTTATTGTGTAACATTTATTAACTGAAACAGGAGAATCGATTTTCTTCAAAACTGCCCCTTTTTCTGCTCAACTGGTCTTTTGCAAATTTTATTAGCTTTCATTAAAAAAAAAAAATAACAAGTAATTTTTAGCAAAAAAACCGACTTCAATTCTCATATAAAAAAAATATATATATATATATCTCATGATCCAATGATCGGATCTAAACCGGATTAGTATGTAAAAAAAAATATTCCGACGAAATGATAACCACCTCCTTTTTTGGAAGTCGGTTAAAAATAATCAACTTGAGTGAAAAATGAAGGCTCCAGTGAATTGTGAACACTAAATTCCAGTTCTGAACCGCTGTGCACTGGCCCTTAGCTGAAAATTGGAGTACTTAGTCATTGAGTGAATTTGTTAGCATCTTCTAAATACTTATGTACTTTCACACATACATATGCATGCACATGCATGTACAAATTTATATTTGAACTCATACATCACATTTGCCAAAAATACTCAACTAAGCTGTGGCCACAAGCATTCAGAAGCTCACATACATACATATTTATGTAGATATATATTTTTATCTATGATTTTTTTGTGTCTGATTGTCGTACATCCAAAAAGGGCAATTTTTATATTAGACATCTATAATTAATTAGTACATATTTGTTTTATAAAACTAAAATTGCATACACTGCACCGATTTTATTAAGTTATATATGTACATTGCTAATTTTCATATTTGGGGTAGCACTATAAAACAATATAATTTCATAATCAAAATCCATATATTTGCAACCACCCTGTATACGCTCGCACTAGGCCGCCCGACTGACCATTCGCGGAAGACATTCCATTTACCTGCTATGGAAATCGTCAATAAAACGCCACCCATGCCGACGACTAGCTGATTTTTATGACTATCGCATGCCATTCCAACTCAATGACAAGAAATGTGTGTGAAATTTTTTCACATTTTAACGCAAGTGCATATATCGCACACCTATTTAGATATAAAGTGCGCTAACTCAAAAATCAGATACGGAAATATAACTGCTTATGGATCGTACAGATTCAACACAATAAATAGAAAAACTGGTATAATAGTAGTTTTTTTAGTGAAGTGTATATAATTATGAAGAAAAAAATTTGCATTAATTGGAGTTAAGTCCTATGAATTTATTTATGCAAAAAACTCGTCCAAAATTTTTTTTTTAGATGATCATTGTTTAGATAGTAAGAAGTTTACAGTTTCCTTATGTTCTATTTGACGATATATTTATTTACTTAGCAATTCACGCTTTACACAGTAAACAAACACACACATTTTACAAAGTAAAACATTTCATGAAGTTGGCTGGTAGATCTTCTCGCTGGTTCGAATTATTGAGGTAAGCGCGATATTATCATTATGTGCCCACTGCTGGATTCCACTTATTTTCACCTCTGGAAAACGTGCAGTGACTTAAGTGCAGGTAAAATTTATAAGTTACGCTGATTTTATTAGTGGGAAGTATCAAGGAGTATTTTGGAAACCATAAAACTTTAAAAGCTATTAAACCTTTGTTGTGCAATTAAGCGGACTTCAAAAAAAAATGTATAAATGAATGAATTACAATAAAAGAAACATCATTTATTCCAAACATGGATTTTTCAAGCAAATCTGCCCGACGCACTTATGCGGATTTTGCTATAAATCTTGATTGTTGCATTTCCTAATGTAAAAAAGTTCAAATGCGGCGTAAATAATAGAAAATATTGATATTTGATAGATGCGCTTAAGCGGATTTAGTAGAATTTCTTAGATATCAGCTATTTGAATTAAGGACATTAAAGTATTGCAATGGGAACTCTCTCCAAGTAAACGAAGTACTACATAGTACTGGACCAATTTGGGATCAGCATGATTATGATTCAATACATCAAAAAATAGTAAGTAAAATGTAGGTAATTTTATTTGCTTTAGTTTTGAGCAGTACATATGCATAAGTGATACAATACAAAAGTCTTTGTTTGATCCTTTGTTATGCTTTCCTCAAACATATGCAGTTCAATATACTTACTCATTTACTTCATTATGAAACGTTTCTTCTTCCTTGTAGCTATGTACTTGTCAATAGTTCTATACCAAGTATATTTGTAGCTTATCCTTTGTGCGAAGAGAAAGGCGAAAGTGAAAACTAAATCTGAACGCATAAACGCAATTTTCCATGGTCAATTCATGCAGTAGAAAGGCACGCCCACATTTCACGTCACAGATGTTTTCTACCAAAAAAAAAAAAAAAATTTACGCATACACAAATATATTTTAGCATTGGCAAACAAAGAAGCCACTAGAACAGCTATAGTTCCTTAAAAAAAAAAAAAACAATATAATCTTAACGATACTACCTGCTCCATGTAAGGCACCACAGGTACAGAAGTTTTTGCATTATTTTTTTTTTTTGCCACAGCGCTTAAATATCCCTGCCACTTGCGGCACGCTAGACAGTTATTTAAAGTGCTTACGCGTGTGCATTGCGTTTAAAAAAAGTGTTCTAATATTTAGTTTTTTAATACAAATTGTCTTTGAGCTATAGTCATGAGCGATGCAAGCTTCTGCTATCCATACTACAACGCTCTATCGATACTAGAATCGCCAAGTGATCCCTCATACTTTAGCTACTCGAGCGTACACAATTCTACGATAATAAGTGATGTGCGCGAAAATGTTGAAACACCAGCGCAGAACATTACAACAATTTCCCTCCTTGCCAGCAGCAGTGGTGACGAAGAATTATCACCGCAAACATTGGACACCACTGAAGAGCAATCAACATTGGTTGACGCCGGACATAGTAGGGGAACTCTAGAGCGCTCAACAGTGACAGAGACAACGCTTAACTTTAATGCGCTTTCAATTTTCCACCCAACAAATTATTCGGCATTTGAAGCGAGTGCGTCACATTTTATATCAACCACCAGCACACCCATGTCCGGGCGTGGTAGAAGAGCGGAAGTTGGCGTTGAAGTGACGCGTTATGTAGCTGTACCGCCTGAGGCTTTGCCGATGCCTAATTTTGACCGACCACGGCCGCCGGGGAAGCGGAGACAAAGTAGCGACACCGACGGCGATAATGATGTCACACATTTTATAGCTGTGCCACCGCATGCGCTACCAATGCCGAATTTTCCAACAATACCAACACCTGAAAGCGGTAATGTTTGAACCAATTTTTTTTTTTATTAACTTTAAAAGTAAAAAGTTGGTGGGCTAGATAATGGAAATTATGTTTGTTTGTGCTGCTGGGAAAATTTTTGGTTTGACTGTGATTTGGTAGAGCAGCAGAAGCCAAATCAACAATTTTTTGAATTTTTGTTTTTTTTTATCTTATCTATGCAAAATTTGCTCACACTGAAGTTTTCAGTTTGCTAAATTTTTGTGAAAATTAAATACCTCATTTCTTGTGCGGGTTTTTTTTCTTAACAAAATTTTAAAATTTTTTTCTCAAGCATGTTTATTAAAATTTTTATATTTTTATAAACAAGTAGGATGAAAATTGTCTTCATATCTGCGTCGATTCATATTTTTGTTTAGTGAATGAAATTTTTATCGATTTTTCTTATACTAACTACCACTACCTTGCCGTCTTTTATGGACCACCAACAAATACACGTACAAAAGTTGGTTTAAATCCGGTGATTAAAAATAAAATACTTATTTGCATTCCATGCAAAGATCAACAGCTAGAAAAACAACAACTACCAAAATAAAAATAAAGAACAGCAAACATTGTGACGCGGAATTTAGTGCTATTTTAAAAATACTTGAATTTCGAACGAGAAGCTAACAAGCAATCGTCACTCATCGATCGTAGCGCACATGCGCATGTGAACATACATATTTATATACATTTATGTGACAGATGCGTGCAACTAATTAACAACGACATGTCCCTGAGAGATTTATGACCTCTTATTTAGAATACTCAACAACTAAAATGGAAATTTTTACCAAAATATCCTTTTTGGAAAGTATACTTAGATTTAGCTGTCAAAAAATGTCAATAAAGTTCCGTTATTCTGAAATAATTGCAATTTTTATGCAAACTCGACTAAAGGTATCGTGCATTTAATTAGCAACGCAAGTAAAATTCTTAAAAATTTTTGCGAATTAATTGATTTACGGTAAGAGTATTTTTATATTTTTACTAAAATTGTTTATTTGCAATGAACTTGATAGTTTTAGTTGAAAATAAAATGGGTAAGCGCAAATCGTGTAGCGAGGAAACTAGGGCTATTATCGTGCAGATGCGTCAGGATGGGAAATCTTACGGTGACATTGCAAACACCCTAAAAATTTCAAAACGGATGGCTTTCAATGCAGTCCAACATTTCAACAAAAATAAAACCACAATGAAAGTCCCACGGAAGAAGAGGCCACGAAAAACGACTGAGCGGGAGGACGAGTTGATTGTGCGCGAGTCGAAAAAGGATCCCCACAAGACGGCGAGTTGCAGTTTTCGGAGAAAATGATAGAGCGCCAGCTGTGGATACCATAAAAAGACGATTACGCGAAGCAGTACTCTTTGGAAGAGTTTCCAGGAAAAAGCTATTACTTTCCGAACGCAATCGACGAAATCGATTAGAGTTTGCCAGAAAATACCCGTCACTGGACCGCAAACGAGTGGAAAAGGGTACTATTTTCGGACGAGACGAAAATAAATAGAGTTTCTTCAGACGGGAAAAGCTATGTCCGCAGACCAAAATGCAAGGAGCTGGACCCTAGATATACTAAATCAACATTAAAACATGGTGGCGGCAACATAATGATTTGGGGTGCCATGTCGTGGCGTGGTGTTGGTCCTATTTACAAAATAGATGGACGCATGGACCAGTTCTAGTACAGAACAATCATGTACAACGTGATGTTACCATATGCTGATGCCAACATGCCCATTACGTGGATTTATCAACAGGATAATGATCCTAAACATACTGCGCGGGCTACAAAGCAATGGTTTCAGGACAAAATGGTGACCCTCCTAGATTGGCCTTCGTGTAGTCCGGACCTGAACCCTATTGAAAACCTTTGGACACATTTGAAGAAAAGGGTTCGTTCTCATAAAGTTGGCAACTTCCAAGATTTGTACGAAAAGGTCAAACAAGAGTGGGATGCTATTCCACAGGACATTTGCAAAAGTTTAGTGGAGTCAATGCCTCGCAGATGTCAAGCCGTGATTGATAGTAATGGATTTGCAACCAAATATTGACTTAAAAAGAAAATAAACGTTTTTTTTTGGCAAAAACAAACAGCGTTGTTAATTAGTTGCACGACTTTTTTAGTCGACTTTGCATAAAAATTGCATTTTTTCCAGAACGACGGCACTTTATTGACATTTTTTTGACAGCTTAATCTAAGTATACTTTCCAAAAAGGGGATTTTAGTAAAATTTTCCAATTTAGGTGTTGAGTATTATACAGAAGAGATCATAGATCTTACAGGGGCATGCCGTTGTTAATTAGTTGCACGCATCTGTATGTACAGGGGATGAAAAAAAATTTCGAAAGAATTAAAAAAAAATATATATATGCAGTGCCGCCCTAAATTATTGGCACAGGGAATTTTTCACAATATATGTAAAATGTTTTTCCTTAATTTTTTTCAGCTAATTTTTTACAAAAAATATGGTTCATACACGACATGAAGCCTAGAAACAAAATATCTCACGTTTGTGTAAAACGCAGGAAACTTTATAAATTTGCATACACGTTTGCTACTTTTTAATCAGATTTTCTACAAAAATTCTAAGTAAGCAGTTTTATAGCCCATTCAATTTTAGAGCAACAAAGTGCAAGTTTGAAGTTGGTAAAAAATTGCGTTGATTTTTGGCAATTTTTTTCACGCGGTTTTTTTCCTAGCAAAAAAATTTTGTCGAACATACTACTTTGTATGGAAGAAACTGCGTAAAAAATTTCCAAAATTCAACACGATTTTTTACCAACTTCAAACTTGCGCTTTGTTATACCAAAATTGAATGGGATATAAAATCACATGCCTAAATTTTTTTTAGAAAATCTGATGAAAAAATTGAAAACTTGTATGCAAATTTTTTGGGCACTAATTTTTATAATTTTTCTTTTTGTTGTAGTATCAACTAAATTTTTTGTGAAAAATTTGTGTAAAAAATTAAAGTAAACAATTTTGCATAGATATATCGTGAAAAAATCTCTGTGTCAATAATTTAGTGCGTAGCTACATATGTATGTATGTACATATTCTAAAGCAAAGTGATATCGCAATTTTATGCTCACGATAGAATTTTTTTTTGTAGCTCATTGGTGTTGATTGTGATTTATTAGTTGCCGCATATTGTTTCCCAATGATTTTGTGAACATTTTCTCTTCTGCCCTCCCCTGTTTGGCACATTAGGGTTGTTCCCTTAAACTGGAAAAAGCCTCTATATACTGAAAATACTCGAAGGGAGAGGCTATGCGACTCCCTTTAGATCCTTCAGATGAGGCGTGAATGAGCTGCGGTTGGTACTTGTAGGTTTGTTCTTGAGCAAGATAATCCAGCTTGGAGTCTCGTTAAATTTGGACATCTACAATGATTCGTCGTTGGGAAATTTGTCGGTTAGTTGTTTGTATAAAATTGTATGTCCATGTTTTCAATTCAGAACTTTCTTTGAAGCATTACGAGTGCCTTTCAGTAACCTCCGCATGTTTCCTAATATTAGTAAGCTTAAGAGCGTTAACATTATAAGTAATAACGTCTGCAATGTGGATTAACGAGCCCCGAGGTCGTGGGTTCGGGTCTCATAGGCAGTCGAATTTTCATTTAATTATTATATTTTTTTTTGTACTACGAAATTGTAGTACACAGCTCTTATTACTCGCCTACCGCTTTGTTTAATTACTTGTACAATAGCCAAAGTCTGGCCGTTTTGGCCAGTGTTGCCATCGAAAATTTTACTGATCCGCATTAATTCACGAGATAATTCCAACTTAACGGGTTGATCCGGATCAACGCTGCCGTATATCTATGCTTTAATGTATATGTGAATGATCTTTAAGAAGGTTCCATTCGTAGTGAAAAAACGCATTATAACTTTGAGTATTTTGCTAAGAAAAACTTAATACATTTTTAATTTTTTACTTTCATTACATTTTGTATCTTAATTAAATTTTTTATTTTTATACATTTTATTTTCATTTAAAAGTTATTGAATATATATATTTTTTTATCTTTACTTGAAATTTTTAATTTTTAAATTTTATTTTAATATCTTTAAGTTTTTTATTTTATTTAAAATTTTTTTAATTCTTATAGTTTTAATTTTTTTTTGTTTTCCTTTTTTAAATAATTTAAATTTTTTTGTTCATATTGTTTATTGTGTTTCCTTATTTTCCTTCCTTATATTTCATGTCTTCTTCTTAGGTACTTAATTTTTTGCTTTTAATTTTATTTTTGCGCTGAATGTATTTTATTTATCTCCTTTTATTCCTTCAATCGCATCACAAATTTAACTTCTCGAATTCTTTGTTGATTCTTTCAATTATTCACTTCGCTTCACTTAACATAAATGTTTTTGTTGCCGCTTTCTGTGCGCTGTATTTTCAAAATGTAAAAAAAAAATACAAAAACAAAGAAACACATACACCAATTGTTTCGCTATTTTTGAAAACGAAAACAGACGGTCGAACGAGCGTTGAAATTTGTCGACTCCGGTGAAAAATTGCAGTGCTCAGTGGAAATTTGTACGGCGCGGAAGACAAAATTGCGAGATAATAAATATTTTGGTAGATTGTCGGAAGAAAAACAGCTTTCGCTAGGCGCTGAATTGGCTTTTAGTATTTTTGGTGCAGATGTAAAAAATTAGTAAAACAAAAATATGTTTTAAATATAGTTAAAAAATGAAGCAATGATATAAAAAATCTGCTTATACTTGTTATACATTTTTTGTGAATAAGAAAGCAAAGCAAAAATTTGTCGAAAACAGTCAGAAGCAAGTAAATAAAAGAGTGTTTTACTTAAACTCTGTTGAAAAGTGAAAAAAAAATTATGTAAACCACGCCTTCACAGTCCACTCACCTAAATTTAAATTGCTGACTTAAAAAATAACAAATTCAATGCGAAAAAACTTAACTAAAAAATAACTAGGTGAATTGTGCTGGAAATTTTTTTCGGATTATTTCGAAATTGTTTAAATACGCG